TCTCTCTCTCTCTCTCTCTCTCTCTCTCTCTCTCTCTCTCTCTCTCTGTTTCTTTCTTTAACATGGCCAGGGATCGAACCTAGGGCCTCACAATTGCTCTGCCACAGAGCCACACCCCTAATGCCCTAATGAAAAGCGTGACCTTCTCCTTTCTGCCATTCGGTTCTCAGTTAAAAACATCTGTTCTTTGTAGAAAGGCATAGGTAGACTTCTCTGTTCTACCAGTTGCTCCCCAAATAATTATGCAGAGACTTAATATTAATTATAAACGCTCAGTCATAGTTTAAGCTTGTTTTTAGCTAGCTCTAATAAATTAACCCATTTCTATGAATCTGTGTGCTGCCCCGAGGCACGCTTGCCTCATCTACGCACTTCCCCTTCTGCTTGCTCGGCCTCTCATGGCTGCTCCTCAGACTCCACCCTTCTTCTTCCCAGCATCCCCCGCCCAATGTCTTCTGCCCAGCTATAGGCCAGTCAGCTCTTTACTAACCAATGAGAGTAGTACATATTCACAGTGCACAAGGATTGTTCCACAGCAGAAAAGTTTCCCCTAGGATCAACTCTCTTCTTTCTCTGTTTTGTGTGTCCCTTGCTAATATAGTGACGTCCACCAAGTCTCTAGTAGGCCCTTATCGCCCTCGCACAAAGCAAGCGCTGTTCATAGCCGGGCATGGAAAGTAGAATCATAGACGCTGAGAGAATGTGGCCCTCTCACGTGAGGGGAAGAGGTCTTTGTGGTCAGTTCACCCAAGCCCTAGCTAATGAAGGCTTTTGCACTCCTTAATCTCGGGTGAGTTTGTCTGTCTGTGATGGTTAGGGAGGGCCAGTTAGCAAAGGTGACCATGGTCCCGTTGCTGCATACTGGATTTTGATGGTAAGTGTTCAGTTGGAAGCTCCCCTTGGACTCACCCCCTCATTCCAAACCCCGCCCTCCGCAGAGAGCCCACCAAGCAGTGGCTCCTCCCCCAGAGCTGCTCAAGGCTGCAGCTACAGGATATTTAAGCTCCTCCTCCCTCCCTTGCCTCACTTCTGGGGGACTTGAGAGTCACCCTGGGGCGCTTTGCTCATTAAACCTGGTCTTTTTAATTCGGCTTTATCTGGTTTATTGTGTTGGTGGAGAAACCTACTCCAGGGATCCATAAATACTTATCAGTAACTGGAACTATCCCTGGTTTAGTAAGAGTCCAAGTAGGTCCACCTTGAAATGGAAAATTTCGCCTGTCTCTTGCAAGTGCATGGAAGCTCAGAATCCTCAGTGGACAGTTAACCTCAAGGCCACCACAAACAACAAGGACATGGGCTTTTGGGACTTGCTTTCCAGACCTCAGCCTGCAGACTCTTCAATTCTTTAAGTAGGGCACCCAGTTAAACTTGGGCTTCAGATAAACTCTATACATATTTTTAGGCAGGTTTCATTATATAGCCCAAGGTGGCCTTGAACGTCTGATCTTCTTGCCTCAAAGTCCCAAGGGCTAGTATTGCAGGCATGAGCCACCATGCTCTGCTCACAAAATAGAATTTTTAGTGTAACTTTATCCCAATAATGTATGAGACATTTTTAAATTTTTGATATATGTTTTAAAATAACATTTTATAAAAATTTCAGAATTTTATACAATGAATTTTGATCCTATTCCTTCTCCACCTCCTTCGAGACCCCCACCCCACGCCATTTACCTCCCTACCCACCCGACTCTGAGTTCTCCTCCTCCTCCTCCTCTTCCTCTTCTTCTTCTTCACCTATGGAGTACAGTTTTTGTTGCCCAACTACTCTTGGGAGTGGAATCCGCCCTAGAGTGTGGTCAACCTATCAGGGGTCAACACCATTAACGAAAACCCACACTCCCTCCCGCAGCTATCAAACAGGCCTCAGCTAGTGTGGACTTTGTCTGATTCGAGCACGCCTTGCGTGTGCTGTCAGAATGCCTGTGAGTTCTTACGTGGAACTTCCCTGTTGTGTCCGAAGCACACTGTCTCCTCGAAGTCACCCACCACCTCCGACTTGTACAATCTTTCTGCCTCCTCTTCCTCGAAGGTCCCAGAGTCTGACAGGGAGGAGGGTGACATGCAAGTCGCATTTAGGACTGAGTACTCCACGACGGAGGCATTTCTATAGTTAAAAAAAATCATATTAGACACATGACAAAAATACTTGTTTATCTGAAATCCAAGTTTACCTGGACACCCCATAGCCTACTGGGCAACTTAAAATGAATGTCTTCCCTGGGGTAAAATGTTGGGACTGGGGAAACATAGGCCACCAAGAGCTGTGTGAGTGTGTGTGTTTCCTAAGGGTAGAATGAGGTTAACTTCTTTCATGCCAAATAAGTAATCACAGACAACCCGCTAGGAAGCCAAACTCATGACTATCATGAGACTCAAGATCAAGAATGAGGGAAAAAAATTACTTTTTTTAGATTACTAGCCAGAGAAGCTGTCTCTCACACAGAGCCAGTCAGTCACCACGCAGAGGGCTGTCTCCACAAGAAGGTAAGAGTACTGGCTTCTTTCATAACAGGCCTTGCGGGGTTCTTCTGTCCCTGCTCTGGGCCTTCTTGACTCTCAGTTGTCAGCAGAATTACCCCCTTCCCTGTTTGTAATAGTCTCTCTTCTGGAGGTTACGGTCTCTTAGATTCTCTCTCAGTCCTCCAAGGTTGCCAAGAACAGTGATTGGGCGGGGGGTTGCTGATGCCAGAAACCCCTTTGCACTAACTAGATGTAGTCTGTCACCCAAAAGGACTTCTGCTGACTTGAGTCAGGTGAGGTACACTTGTCCTGCAACTGTTTTCTGAGGCTCTGAGCTTGAGAGAGATGCATACAAAAAACAATGAATGCAGAATTGATTCGGTCTCCTGTGTGTCAGCACAGGCTCCACCCCTCCACTGCTCACCTGAGATGATCCCTGAGCTCAAGTGTAATTTTGTTACCAGGAAGGGCAATTACACACAGAATGCCCCCCCACCCCGTGGAAAGGAGTTGCACTGCGAAAAATGAAAGTCCCGATATTGCTCTTCTTCAAAATGGAACTAATTAATGTAACTCCATTGCGACAGGCCTTTAAAATGTAGAGAAACCATAAAAAAACCCACCCCACAATAATAGCAAGGGGTGAAGCTTCCATTATTGCTTTTTTAATGAGCTTACCTTAATTATGGCCATTGTATCCCATGAGAATTTTTGTTGGTATTTATACACATTTTAGGGTTAGGGTGTGTGTGTGTGTGTGTGTGTGTGTGTGTGTGTGTGTGTGTGCGCGCGCGTTTGGATTGGGTGTGGTAGCACACACCTTTAATTAATTCCAGAACTTAGAAAGCAGAGGCACACAAATCTTTATGAGTTCAAAGTCTAGTCTACATATTGAGTTCTTAGACAGCCAGGGCAGTGCAGTGAGATTCTGTCTTTAAAAAAAATTAATTTCCTAGCCACGAAACCTGGATAGATGGAAACAGAAATTGAACTGAATGGGAGGAAAAACAAATTACTAGATGAAATGAAGTCCTGGCCTTCCTATGTTTGTCTTGGGTGATGTGTACTTGGCCGAAAGGAGTGAGTTCCCTTGTTGAAAAGTGGTTTGGAAGATGAAATGTCACTACTACCCACACCCTGGCTAACCTCAGGCTGCAGTGTGCTGGTATACATCTCCCTGGGCATTGTAACCTTTAGCTTAGCCAGAGATCGATGACAATGGTAATTTCGGAGAAAAGCAATGCATCTTTTGCTTTTGATTTTTGAGACAGGGATTCTATTTGTAACTGCCCTGGCTGTCCTGGAACTCGCTCTGTAGACCAGGCTGTCCTCAAACTCACAGAGATCCACTTACCTTAGCTCCCAAAGTGCTGGGATTGAAGGCGTGTATAACCAGTGCCTAGCTTCTTTCACTTCTTTTTAAACTTATGATTACACGATGTGCCCACACGCGTGTGTGTGCATGTGCACATGTGTGTGTGTGTGACAGTGCATATGTGGGGATCAAAAGATAACACCACGGAGCCACCTTCCACCTTCACCTGGGGGCTTGGGGAGCACACTCAGGTTGCCAGACCTGTTCAGCCAACATCTTTGCAGTCCCACCTTCAGTCCCACCACTTGTTCTAACAACTGCTGCCCTAGGTCAGTAACGCCAGAGAAATCTGGAACAGAAACCTCCCTGATTTTATCAGAGTCAAACTGAAGGCCGGGGAGACACGCTTCCCCATGGTAGCTTAGGGTTCGCATGCTATGCTTCATTTACAGTTTCTTCTTAGATAGAACTTAATTCTCCCATAATTAAAAGGCGTCAGAAACCTAAGCTGTTTCCAAAGCTCTTGGAATCGATGAGAGGAGGTACGAATCCCGACAGGCAGACCGAGAGGGTGTGTTAGCTGACACCCATCCTGGGGACAGTCGCTGTGAGATGCGTGAGGGTGTTTGGGACACACTAAACAATGCCGATGTGAACTTCCTTTAGGTGTCCTCGGAGTCCACACAATGCCACGAAATGATCACTTCAGTTATCCCAAGAAGGGGCACGGCCACTCTTATGTCACTGCCGAAGAGTAAGTTAATGAGCAGACCTTCTGCTGACTCCCACCCACACATGCCAATGATAAGTTGGTGTCCTGGTGGCCCTACAATGGTCTCACTCACATCTCTGGGGCCACATGATTGGGAGACGGAAGTGAGAAAAGTTAAATATTGCTATTTTTGTCTGCCTCCTTGGGCCTTGGTTATTGGTTCCAAAGTTGGGAAACATCTATCCAGGACCCAGCCATCTCCTTCCTCAGGCTGATCCCATCAACTCCTCTCAGGACTCCGGTGGGAACCCGGCAGACAGAATGGCGTTAAGATGCTAAAGAGCCAGCCAGTGTGGACGAGGGGCATGTGCATGGGTGTCAGTCCGTATGCGTTCAGGCTGAAGATGGTGGCCATGACTTTTGTACCATGGTGCCGTCCGACAGAAAGATGTTCGACTTCTGAGTTAATTAATAATAAGTATTTATGCGATTATGACTTCCAAGAACTCAGTATGTGGTTTGGAGATACTGTTCTATATCTCTGAAAAGGTCCAGAGTCCACTGGGAAAATTGGGCAGGAAGCAACTCCAGCATCTGTAAGTGCTCTCAGGGGAACCCAGGACCCACGTGCAGGTGCTAGGAATGGGAAGGGTGTGGCAGGAGGGGAACCTGAGCCGGGAGTCCAGCCAGGCTTTGATGAGACCAGCAATTCTCAACCTTCCTAACGCTGCGGCCCTTTAATACAGTTCCTCATGTTGTGGTGACCCCCAACCATAAAATTATTTTGCTGCTAATTCATAACTAGTTTTGCTACTGTTATGGATCACAATATAAATATCTGATTTGCAGGATATTGATATTCGATCTTTGTGAAAGAGTCTTAATGGGGGTGGTGATGACCCACACGTAGGAAACCACTGATTTAGACTGTCTTTAAGCCATCTGTTCAGAACCCCAGCAGATCTGTTCCCCTTATAGGAAGAGTTTCCGGAAACGCTTACATAAATTACACAGAGTCAAACAGCAAACGAGGAACAGACTCCATCCACGGAGTCTAGCTGGGAGCATTTTTCACACTCAGCATAGCCAGTGCGGAGGTAGGAGAAGAGATACATTCCAGAAAGTTGTCTCAGTAAGATAAAGATACTGTTTAGGTGGGGAGATAGACTGGAGATGAAGATACTGTCTAGGTGGGGAGATAGATTGGAGATGAAGACCGTCTAGGTGGGGAGATAGACTGGGTATGGCATTGTGTTGTCATCCTTAGAGTAACTCCACTTAAACTCTATTCTTCTTAGACCAGTATTTTACTTTCTCTCATTTAGTAGTCCAGGAGTCCTAGCCCATAAGTTTCCTTCTTTCTTGTTGTCACCTGGACATTGCTTCTATCTAAGTGAAGATAGTGTGTCCTCAGCTTAGGATTTCCCCAACAGAAACTCAGGAACCAAGGGAAGGCTGGTGGGCTGGGGCCACGATTCCAATGGCACTCAGCCTCCATGTCCCACACCATGACACCCATGTCTACCCGCTGTGTGCCCCACACCATGACACCCATGTCTGCCCGCTGTGTGCCCCACACCATGACACCCATGTCTGCCCACTGTGTGCCCCACACCACGACACCCATGTCTGTCCGCTGTGTGCCCCACACCACGACACCCATGTCTGCCTGCTGTGTGCCCCCCACATCACGGCACCCATGTCTGCCCACTGTGTGCCCCACACCACGACACACATGTCTGCCTGCTGTGTGCCCCCCACATCACGGCACCCATGTCTGCCCACTGTGTGCCCCACACAGCACAACACCCATGTCTGCCCACTGTTCCTACACCACAGCACCCATGCCTGCCCCACACACCACGACACTCATGTCTGCCCTCTGTGTTGTATGTGGGAAAAAGCACAGAGAAACTAGGAGATATGCGACAGGATGTGGTGATGCCGGGATTTAAGCGCAGCTCTGTTTGCCCATGAAGCACTAAGCTGGTGGGCTAACAAAGGCAACTACTTGCACATTCCTATTCAAATAGAGGAGAGGCCAGAGATCAGCATCTCTCACTGCCAAGCCGGAAGCCGGAGGCAGGCAGCGTCAGCTCAGTGGGCTGACAGCTGAGTCCTCCTTTATGGTCCTTCACCATCAGTTCCAACCTGTGAAGCTAAGCGCCACACCCACAGACAATGTCAAATTACTCTCCAGGTCTAGGAAGGAAGATGGACACCAAGAAGTCATTTCCCCTTCAGTTTGAGGACCTGGTTAAGTAGGTGGGAGCCTTGAGGAGACAAAGGCACAGAAGTAACAAAGGGCGGCAAAAACTGCAGCATGTTGCTTCTGTCCTTGGGGCTGAGGGGACAAATGGGAAGGCAGGGGTCACTGGAACCTAAAATGGAGGGAAGCAAGCCCATAGAATGGGGCCCACATGACTGAAAGGGATTTCTATTGGCTGATTCCCGGGTGCTCAGGCCTCTGGCTAGTGGGGCACTGGTCAGCTGTTGGGGGCATGGAGAGGCCAGTTCTGGGAGTGGCAGGGAGAGAGGGGGCAACTGAACTGACCAGCACTGTGAAGAGCAGCTGCAGGGGATGCCGAACAAAGCAGGAAGCAAACTGTCGCCAAGACGCTTCCGCTTCTGGGACACTCTGCAGGGACCACAGGCAAAGCAGAATTAGGGTTTGCAGAGTCCATTGCCAGCGTCCCAGAGCAGGACATAAAAAGGTGGGTTTGGAGTTAGGGACAGCAGTTTACAAAGGGCCCCTGTGGCTTACTATCTTCATGTTAGGTCCCTTTCACTGAAGGCTCCTGCTTTCTTGCATCTGACCAAAGTGCTTAGGCAGGGTCAGGAGAACACTATGGTGTTTTCTGAGAGCCCAGAAAGGTCCCAGGTCTAGCACAGAAGCAAAACAGCCGCTCAGTCTGCACATATGGATGCCGTCATGTCCACGGACATCACCAGAGGCGAAGCACAGTGCAGTGACCCTTTGAACCTCAGTCCTTGAAGGACGCAACCTGAAGCATCATGGTACACGATTTTGTGCTGGATAGTGAAAGAGACCAGGGAAGGACTCGAGAAAATCACGGCACAAGGCCACCGATATCAGGACCTCACTCATCTGGCTGCCCGTTTAAACGGGAGGGTCAGACACAGGGGAGCACAGGGGGACACAGGGAGCAGAGGTATCTGTATTGAAGAGATATATCTTCGTGATTCTCGGAGGGTATTTCTCCTCTGAAATCTGTCAGAGGTACGAGGAAGAATGATACGCAATGAACTCCCACAGCCAATAAGAAAGGGCTATTGCTGCCCATTAGCTCTCTCTGAAGCCTCAGTAGACGGGGTTCTTACACCCTCGACTGGGAGTTTGCCTAAATGCAGATTCCTAGGTGCTCCCTCCAAAAGGGGTCACTTTAGGCCTGGCGTGGTGCCCCAGGGTCTGCACTTGAATTGCACCTCGGGTGACTGAGGAGCCTGCTAGGCTGGACAGTGGCTTCCTCTGGCGCCTGGCGGTCTTTGATGTCTTATGCTTTCAATCACTCGTGTGCATAGTCTAAGGACAACGTGACTGTGCGTCAGGAGCTGGAACAGAGCCCTGTCTGTGTCGAGACGCTCGAAGAAAGAGCAGAGGGTAAAGCAAGAGCACGCGCATGCTGGGAATTGCGTCAGCTGCCTGCCGTCACGAGAGCCACTGAACACTCCTTGTGACAGCGTCACCTTAGATGCGTTTCTTCTTCCCAGCAAACACTGGACAGTGGACCTAGGTCCGGCCTGAATCCTAGAGCTTTCTTGATGGCTGTCTGGTACCGCTTACTACGCTGATTCCACCGTGTGCCGGCTGTGCAGCCTTGAGCATTTTGGCAGCCCAATGTCGGCTGTGACGCAAACTATCCCAAGCTCAGAGTGCTGTGAGGATAAAATGAAACATAGGGGTGGGGGCAGTAGCGCAGTGCCTGGCACGAAACGGTGTTCAGAGGAGGTCTCAGTGCCCGGGGCTTGGGTGTTTGGGTCATGCAGTTGCTGACTCTACACGTGGGTTGACCGACACAACTAGGGCAGAACTTCCCTTGACACAGACATCTTCCCGGTCTCTTCATTCCATCTAGAGCTGGTAGCCTTGAGATGAAGGTGGGTGGTAATGCAAAACTCCCTCCTTCATTCCCCCCTGTACCCCTGTAGTCACTCGGTCCAGTAAGCATCACCCAGCCTTGGCAGAGAGTTTCTTAGCAAACTCAGAGTTGCAGACAGTGTCTGGTCCTCAGTGCGGATCGTACCAAGTACCAGGCAGATGCCAGCTGCCTGGCAGTGTCACACACTTGCTGGGTCTTTGCAAGCAATTGTACTGCTCCCCAGGGAACTCTGGACACAGGGCACAGCGGCTGCTAAGAGCCTCACAACAGCATCCTGATGCTCAGGACCAGATGCACAGAGATGCCACAGCGGAACTCTGCAGTAGGGCCAGCTCAGACTCTTCTCCTTGGGTCACAGGGAGTCACATCAGAGTTTAGGGCGGGGATAGCCTCAGGCTCACACCCTGACTCTGCCCGGTGAGAGCTCTGGGTGGCAGGCCGCTGATCCTCTGAATTCATTTCTTCCTCTGTGAAGTGGCAATAATGATTGGTTCCTTGCTGCAGAGTTACAACACTGGCTCGTAGCCAGTGCTCCTTTCTACTTCCTTTTTCTGGATTGAGTTGGGGAAAACGCCTAAAAGAGCTGTGTTGAGAAGCAAATATTTACTTCTTCAGTAAGCATTCTGTCCACACAACGGCCAGGTGCCAGGCATGCTTTATGCTTTGGACTTGGGTGTTCCATACTGAAGAGCTCCTAAACTAGGCCCTATCCTTAGATATTGGAGCTGAGGTCTGGTCAGGTGCCCTGTGTGGAAAACTGCAAACTACTTGGAGACTAGAAGATGCTTTTCTGGACCACGAAAAGGGAGAAGGTTGGTTGTTTCACTGTAGTCTGGACTAATGGTTCTGAGCAGTGTTGGATGTGTCTATCTCTTGGTCCAGGGCCGCAGGGATTGGCACCCTGATTGTGGTCCTGGGTATTGCTCTGCTCATCGGCTGCTGGTACTATAGGAGACGAAGTGGATACCGAACCTTGACGGTGAGTCAGGGTTCCCTGCCGGGTCCCAGTCTTCTTCTGAATCTCTGAGGACGTCCTCGCATGCGTGTGCATGCTGCACCTTCCATGGTACGGGGGTGGAGGCAGAAGAGCTTTCTGGAGTCGGTTTTCTCCTTCCGCCATGTGGGGCTCCGGAGAAAACCTAGCTAGTCAGCCTGGGTAGCAACCACTCTTCGCTCCCTGCCAAATGCCAAGTTCTTCTAACTCTGTCATACCATGGTCCCCAAGCACGAGAAAAACAACCTCCCTGCAGCATCAGGGTGCGCCACTGAGCTTTTTCCTTTATTTATCTGTCCATTGGTCCTGAAGAGATCAGGGCAAACTTGTCATAATGTTAATGTTAGAAAGGGGCCTTAACAAGATCTCCTGAATAAATTTGGAACATGGGGACCTTGGGGGAAGGTTGAAGGGAAAAGGGGAGAGGCAGGGAGGGGAGCAGAGAAAAATGTAGAGCTCAATAAATAGTAATAAAAAAAAAGAAAGGGGCCTTAAAATCCTGAATATTTGTGTAGGTTCTCAAACAAAGTCTGAGTGTTTTGAGACCTGCAAGACACAGCAAGGTAGGAAAATTTAAATGTGATCTCAAAGGAAAACTAAGTGCTACATAGTAAAAACAATTTTTTTTAGCACTGAAAGCCACTGGATGGGAGAGATGGTTCAGCGGTTGAGTGCACTGGCTGCTCTTCCAGAGGACCCAGGTTTGGTTCCCAGCATTCACATGCTGGCTCAGGGGATCTGTTATGCTCTTCCAGCCTCTGCAGGAACCAGGAATGCTCATGGTGACACACAGGCATACATTCTGGCAAGACACCAATAGACACAAAATAAATAAATAACAAAATAAAAAAAATTAAAGCCACTAGCTAGGGATGGTAGTGCCAGCATGTAGTTTTCAGCACTTAGGAAGGCTGAGCCAGGAGGGCAGATTTCGGGCCACCACAGGCTACCAGGAAGAAGCTGCTGAAAACAACAATAAAGCCTCCTGATCCCCCATCAGACTTCCACACACATCACTTCAAAGTTAGACTGTCATAGAATCATCAAAGTATATTGTCACAGAAACAGAGAAAGCATACTCAGAAACCAAAGCACTGACCTCGGGTGAGTGAAACACGGCAAAGTGTCTGGAAACTCAGGAGTGCGAACCTCTGCAGATCTGACCCACGCTTTGCTTTTCAAAACCTTCGCTCTATCCTCTCTGGACGAAGGGCGAATCTAACAAAACTCCACCAGTACTAGGCACAGTTCAAGCTCTCTAGAAGGCATATGAACCCCAAGTTCCAGCCCATAGCCCAGGCTGCCTCCCTGGCATGTGCATGCCCTCAGTCCCCCTACTCAAATCATACTCGCTTTCCTTCCTTCCTTCCTTCCTTCCTTCCTTCCTTCCTTCCTTCCTCCCTCCCTCCCTCCCTCCCTCCTTCCCTCCCTTCTTTTGAGACAGGGCTTCTCTATGTAACAGCCTTGGCTGTACTGGAACTCATTTTGTAGACCAGGCTGACCTCGAACACACAGAGATCCACCTGCCTCTGCCTCCTGCATGCTGGGATTAAAAGCGTGTGCCACCACTGCCCAGCCATACTCATATTTTTTAAACGCCTGCTGTCTTCAGCCTCCCAGCTGAAACATTCCTTTTCCTGGAAACCGGGTGGCATCTGTGTCTCTCTTTCCCAACTGCCTTTTAGCTGAGGGTCCAGAATGTAAACCAAAGAGGCAAAGTACATCCGGAGCCACGCATGATCAAGCAGAGTCCTCTAGTGAGCTCACACTAAAGTGTGGACAACAAGGCTCTGCCAATAGGACACTGTTGCCGTCCAGGCTGAAGAGGGGAAGGGACTTCACTTCCTGTCATCTGACTCCATCTGTGCTCCTCAGGCACGGAGTGACAACACTACCTTGCAATTGGTTAGTTACTGTTTGGTCCTCTTGCTCAACAGTTACGGAAAAGTCACTTGGATGCAGAGAATCAAGATTTGGCTTCACTGTCCACCACTGACTTGCTGGGGGCCTTGGATACTAATTTTTCCATACCTCATTGGCTCTGCTCTACACCTAGTCATGGCAAAAACACGACAGAAAAAAAAATGCTACTAGTTTTTACCATCTGCATCTTCATCTTTTATATTCATCTTAAGTTGTACACATGTGTGTGTCTACATGTGGGCATGTGTATGAGAGTGCCTGTGTTCATAGAGGTCAGAAGCACATCTCCCTGGGCTCAGAGCTACAGGCACTTGTGAGCTACAAAACATAGGTGAGGGGAATTGAACATGGGCCCTTTACAAGAATAGCAAATACTTCTAACTGCAGTCATCTCTCTAGCTCTTTCTCTCTCTCTCTCGCTCTCGTTCTTGCTCTCTCTCATCTATTTTGATGTGTGTAAGTGTTTGCCTACATGGATGAAAGAGCACCATATACATGCAGTACCCATCGAGGCCAGAAGGGGTTTTAGAATCCCTTGGAACTTGAAAGATAGATAGTGGTGAGCCACCACGCTGGTGCTGGGAACAGAACCTGGGTCCTTTGCGAGAGAAGCAAATGCTCCTAACCACCGAGTCATCTCTCTAGCCCCATGTCCTTATTTTTTGAAGGACAATTTCACAAGTTGTTCATTTTGTAAATGTAGTCTTCCCGGGACTTCTCTTCAAAGCCTCCAGTGAGGGACAGCTGGTGCCGGGCACTTCCTTGGCAGTTTTTAGTTCGTTCCAACAATTCTTGAGAAGCAGGTTGTATAGAGCTAACAACTGGAATCAACAGAGGTAAAGGGAGTGGCCTGAGGAGCCTGAGAGGCAGCAGCTAGTTTAAAGCCCATTTTTAAAATGCTGTTTCTTTTATCTTTTCGTTCATGGACTCAGTTCTTATATTTTTTTAAACCATTCATTTTTATGACTTTGCATTTCAGGACAAAAGACTTTATGCTGGTACACAAAGTACCCTGAAGGAAAGATGCCCGAGTGATGGTCATCAGGACAGTGGACTGTCTTTTCAAGAAAAAAAACAGCAGCCTGTGGTAGGTTGAGATTGTGCGTCTGGGCATTTTCATGTTAGCTGCTTTCAGGTCAAGTGAACAAAGTGATTTCCATTGAAAAAGCAATGCTAGTCAGGTGGTGGCGGCACATGCCTTTAATCCCAGCACTTGGGGAGGCAGAGACAGGCAGATCTCAGTGGGTTCAAGACCAGCCTGGTCTACAGAGTGAGTTCCAGGACAGCCAGGACTACACAGAGAAACCCTGACTTGAAAAACAAACAAACAAACAAACAAAAGCAATGCAAATATACTTAATATCACTAAACTCTTAACTGGTCAGTAATGGTCAAAATTAGGGCTGGGATCGTAACTCAATGGTAGAGCATTTGCCCTGCATGCATGAGGACCTAGATTTAATCTACACAACTGCCTCTCCTCCATAAAGGTCAAAATGGTAATTTTTGTTAGAATATTTTATAATAAAAGCAAACAAAATGGGAAATAGGTTTTCTTAAGTTTTGTCTTCCTACATTTAGATTTTACAGTCCCTGCATATAGGAGCCACAGGGGGATTTTTCCCTATAGAACTGAGCCACGTGTATTAAACACTTGAAACATAGTAGTTTGAAAGAAGTAGTTTCATGATATATATTTCAAAGACAGAATACACAAATAGAGCCACTACTGACCTGTGGGTTTGATGTTGAAATTACTATTTATTTAGGTATTTTTATCTAATTTACCTGTTTTCTAAAGGTAAAGTTATTAGGAATTTAAGTTCTACATGTGACTTGCATGCACTTCTGTACACTATGCATAGCAAATGGACACTGACTCTGGGGTCAGGTAACTGTGTTTGATTCTTAGCTCTTGGCTTTACTGTTTGTGACCTAGGGCAAGTGACTTGTCTATGCCTCATTTCCCACCTGACAACATCTCTTCTAACTGAGCATTAACTGGATAACTGACACATTTGTGCTCCGCTGGTAGACAGATGTGTCTCCCCCAACCTTTATGGTGTTGTCTTTGGATGGTGTCTATCTCTGAGTTGCCCCTGCCCCCAGCCCTAAATATGCCTTTAGACACACCTAATAGGGAACTCTGTGGGTGAAGATGCAGTATTTGAGTGACTCACACATGATTCAAGAATTCACAGGCAGGTGAGTTTCTTCAATGGGGACCTGCTGCCAAACTTGACAACTTTGCGTTTGATCCCTGGGACCCAGCTGGTAATGGGAGTGAACCAATTTCTCAAAATTATTCTCTAACGTCCACACGTGTGCTGTGGCACAGGTGCTGCCCTCAAAACAAAGTAAATAATTTAGATTTTGGGAAGCCTCTTGTCTCTTGTTTTTTTCCCACCCCAACAATGTTTCAAAATATGCATTTGTGAGATATAACCATTACTCCATTGGACAAAAACGTATGTATGAATATTTAGACACTTCGGTCCAGAGCAAAAGTATAGATGCGATGCAGGCTGTGTTGCCTCATCCCTCCCAGAACATGTACACTGCTGTCAAGCTCACTGACCTTCCTTAACCTCACAGGTTCCCAACGCTCCACCTGCCTATGAGAAGCTCTCTCCAGACCAGTGCCCACCACCATATTCACCCTGAGCGCCAGCAAGGGGCTGGGAATGCGGAGATGGTTTCCCTCACGCTTTTGCTTTAAGGCTGGCAGACGCCCGTGTTTTTCAGAAGGCTACGAACACCTCTACATTTAACAGGCCAGTGCTAAGTTCTTGTTAGGGCAACCAGAGGATAGTGAGGATTGACAAGTAATAGGACCCTGGGAAAAGTTTTAATAAACACTTTAATGCATGTCATCTGTCCCAGAAGAAATGCTATTAAATCACCGTCGTCATTTTGAGGGGTAAACTCCATGGATGATCTGGGAGCGTCTGATTTGTGAAGAAAATATTTTTCTTTCTTTTTATTCTTTGTGTCTTTCACATCATGCTTCTTGATCCCATTCATTTCCCATCCCTTTGTATCCTCTCTCTGCCCTTTCAACCTCGCCCCCACCCCCGCCAAATAGAATAAAATAAAATTTAAGAGAAAAAAAAGAAAAAAAGAAAACCTCATCATGGAAGCTGTAGTGTGACACAGTGAGTCGCGCAGTAAACCCTTTTGTCTGTACATCTTTACTCGCAAGTGTTCATTGTAGTCTTTGGTCTGGTTCCAGGCCTCTAGTTTCTGTTACATTATCAATATTGGGCCCTCAGTAGGAGTCCTCTTGGATATTCTCTTGTCCTATGTTGTGGAGATCCTGCAGCTTTGGGTCCGCAGGTCAGTTGCAGAGTTGCTCACCCCACCGGCCCTCCCCCATCTCAGGACCGGGGTGACCTCTGTAGTACTGCCCTGGCTAGTTCACCCTCAGTAGCAAGGAGCAAGGGGCAGAACCAGTTATGTTGCTTTCCCATCTACAGGACGGGCTCTCCCACACCTGCCCAATCAGGGCCAGCTCTACTGTGCTGCCCAGGCCAGGTGCAGAGCCATGCTGAGTGCAGCAGCTGCTGAGGGGCAGGAACAGCTCTTCCACCGCTACAGGAAGTGAGGGGTGGGAGAAGAGGCCATTTCTTCCCTTGCCAGGTCACCATATGCAGATGAGGGATTGGCCTGATCTCCCATGCTCAAATGGGAACGGGAGAGCAGGCCGTGCCCTTCTTGTGTGCCACATGGTGGTGAGGGCAAGGAAAAGATACCCTCTTTCCCTTGCCCCTGCCACCTTTGGTGGGTGAGGGAGCCGACTGTTGTCACCAGCTGCAGCACTTGGTAAGGTAGGCCTCCACCTCACTTGGGCATCATGGTAGAGCTGACCCTATTGACTGGGCTGTGAGTGAACCAGCTTTTACTTTTAAATCTTTTCACACTTTCAATCTTAACAGAAGATTAACTTACCATTCATTATGAGTGTTGAAGTAAAATATAATTAGAACTATTTAATGTATATTGTTTAAGATCTAGGCGCTTAGCAACGCTGTGTGGACTCAGGCAGTTTTATGTACATTGTATACACACACATACATATAAGCATGTATATGTATACAAGTGTAAGGATAATAAGTACAGAAAAGAGGTCATGAATTTGAAAAAGGATGGGGGGAGCATGGGAGAAGTTACTCTATAAACCCTTTTATCTATACATCTTTATTTTCAAGTGTTAATTGTGGCACCAGGCAGTCAGGCACTATTATGTTGGTCAAATGTATGGTGTGGTATGGGAGGGAGGGAGACAGTGGGGTTCATGCCCTGTGGACAGACGCACATCTGAAGAGGAGAAAGAGGTGAGGAGTGGGCTAATGTGGGTGGTTTGATTGCCACCCAGGGTCATGGTGATGCCTGGGCTTTGGCTGCTGCTGGGGCCCATGTCCGGGTTCATGGCTCTGATGCAGCCACAGTCTTTGTAGGCATCGATGGCTCCTGATACCACTAAAGACTGAAAGGATAGGGCTGTAGAGGATTGGCCCCACCCCTTACTGACTGCAGCACTAGGAAGAACCAGTCCGTCCCCTCGCCTGCAGTCGGGCAGTAGGTCGCATTCAGGAGAGAGGTCCTACACATCACCTGGGCAGCACAATAGAGCTGACCCTGTTTATGAGGTGGGGGTGGGGTGGAATGAGGGGGTGGGGGATGGGTGAGCTGGCCCTGAAGACATAAAACTGGGCTGTAGGCGAGCCTGTAAGCATTTTTAAAATTAGTGATTCATGGGGAAGGCCCAGCCCATTGTGGGTGGTGCCATCCCTGGGCTGGTGGTCCTGGGTTCTGTAAGAAAGCAAGCCATGGGGATCAAACCAGTAAGCAAAGCTCCTCCATGACCTCTGCATCAGCTCTTTCACTAGGTTCCTGCCCTTTGTCCCTGTCCTGACTCCCTTGAGTGATGGGTGTGGCAGTAAGTAAGACAACTGTCCCCAAGTTGCTTTTGGCCATGTGTTCCTCACAACAGGAGAACATGCTGTGGACCCCGTTCAGGGCCCCCTTCCTAACAGCTTCTGAAGGGTAACTGCCAGCTCCTTTTCATGCTCTTAACACCCAACACACCCTACACGCAAAGGTGTCACTTTCCTAAGTAGAGCTACAAAATGAACGTTATAATAAAAACAGGTTGTTTTTATTAATACCTAGGAAAGCAACGATTGTAAAGACTATGAGCCCGAGACCTGCTTTCTTTGCTAAATATATTACTAAGACTCATAGGAAACTCAATGCCCTTTTCACTATGACTCTTATTTAATGCTGTCAATAAATCACCTAAAATACCTTTTGTCATTAGAAACATAAGCATAACATTAACAGAACCATTTCTATCAAAAAAAAAAACAACAAAAATCAACATGCAATGAGATACTAAAAAATGTTTGTGCCTTTCCTGACTTATGTCTTATCACTTAAAATGCCCTTGTTCTCCTTTCAAATACATGAATTCTAATGAAGAGACTTTATCAGGACTTTGCTCCCTCCAGCCCTGCTTCACAAGATCTTTGAACTTCATTCACATCTTCAGAGGGAGCTCCGGCTTGATCCCCAGGCCTCTCTGAGCCTCCCACACTAAGACACAAACAACTCTCTTTTCCATGAGGAAAGTTTCTCTTCAGTGTCCTCCAGTGTCATGGATGACAGACAATAGTCTTAGGCTAAGTACTCCGGAGAGCAATCAAGTGTTTGCTGAAAAAAAACATAAGGTACAAAATTTAGCCCTACTTCTGAAGACCATTCCTTGGACTCACAATCAACTGTAGGCAACCCTGGGAGCCCTTTGCTAAAAGACAGAAGTGCCACATGGAGTTAGAAGTCTGTCTGGTGACAAGGAAGGAGTCTACCCCACCTGGAAACGCTCACGCTGCATCAGGAAACAGCTTCACAGAAAATCCACGAATTAAGACCTGGGCATTCTGACACCAAAGACCATTAGCACTGTGGTCTGAACTCAGAGCTTCAAGGCCTTTCTTTGTTGTCTGAGCTAAAAAAGCAAGAAACAACAGACTCAGGGAGTGGAGATCCTTGTAATCACTGTAGGACTGGTGTACTTACTGAAAACATGAATTTAGGAGATCAAGCCTCCATTACAGGAAGAGAAGGGTTCAGGGTACAGTGCTGCTTGTTTTCTGAGAGCCAGGTGGGGACTAGTTTCCTCTGACTAGGAATAGTCTTTTCCAGTTAGCCAAGTATTGTGAACAAGTAACACTGTTGTCACTCTGAGGTGAATGAAGTTAGAGAACAATTTTGTGGACTTGTCCCCCCTCCCCCCCACCCGGTCCTAACATTGTGGGCAGCTGGGCTCCCAGGCTCAAGCTCCTACAGACTCTGTGGAGACTCTGATGTGGACATTGTGATTGCTACTATGGTTTCAGCAGGCATAACTTATTTAAGGAAGAATTAGCCAAAATGATAAAAAAAAATAGTGAGAAGGTAAAACTGACTTTAATAATGGATGACATTACTCTATGTGAAGCTACAAATGCTAAACTTGAAGCACTTCTGGACATATGAAGAGGCCTGCTTGGCTTGGAGATATCTCAGATCTCCAACAAAACAGGAAGGAGTCCTCTAAATTTTTATCTTTTGGCTTGACTCCAACAGTTCAGTCTCGAGACATAAAAATTCCTTAATTTCAAGTGATGGCAAAAGTCATCATTTTTAACCTAAAACTGTGAGGGACAAATCAGCATGGAAAATAGAAATAAAATTCATCAATGTGAGGATGTTAATCAGACAGAGCACAAAGGTCAGAATCTGAGAAAATTTCTGAAACTGGGTCAGCCTTTTTATTTTCTAGAGATGAGCTTTGTGTATCTCAGACTGGCCTCCAACTAAGTCTCTGAGAACGACCTTGAACTTCTGATCTTCCTGCCTCCTTAGTGTTAGGGATTGAAATCAGGTCCTCATGAGTATATGCTAGGGAAGCATTCTACTGCCTCAAAACCAAGTAAACTAGGCCTTCAGATAAAACGTTATCTAGTTCTAGTCAACAAATATGCATACCGTGTGCCATAGACTGGGATGACGGTGACTGAAGAGGCCCCATCTCTCTTAAAAACCAGCAGGCAAACACATCCAGGTATGAAGGTGTGCTGTCCTCAGGCTACATATGTGCGGTACCAAGGCAGCTGCAGCAAGGCAGTTAGACAGAGATACTGTGCGATGAGGACCTATAATCAAGCTTTAAAGTCAGAAAAGGAAGATGCTATGTCTCAAACTTTCTGGAAATTACAGCCCAGTACAGTGAAATGAATGAGAAACAGGCACATGCAAGAGACTCCTCTCACTCCAGGGATTTAGTAGTGAGCTTCATGGGACTGAGGTTAGGCCAGAGGTAACAGTAAACTAGGTTCCATGGGAGTTTAGAGAATTCTGTTGAGACCGTAGGTGAAGTTTTAGGTTACTTTATTTTATAAATTGGGTATATAAACACATTCATTGAATAAATACTATCCATGTGTAATATGATACATTTAAAAAGAAGTTTTGCCAGGCAGAGATGCATGCCTTTTAATCCCAGCACTCAGCAGGCAGAGACAGGCAAATCTCTGTGAGTTGGAGACTAGCCTGGTCTACAGAGCAAATCCCAGGACAGCCAGGACTTTTACACACGGAAGCACTGTCTTGAAAAAGAAATAAAGAAAAATAAATAAGCAGAAAGTTTTATTTTCTATGCATTGGTGATTTGCCTGTGTGAGGGTGTCAGAGTTCTGGAACTGGGGTGATAGGTAGTTGTGAGATGCCATGTATGTGCTTGGAATTGAACCTGGGTCCTCAAGTGCTCTTATCCACTGAGCCATCTCTCCAGCCCCCTACAATGCATTTTAAACAGCACCCACATGACATCTCTTGAAAACCAAGGTTTTTTGTTTTTTTTTC